TAAGTTGCATAGGCTGATTCTGAACTTGAGCTTCTGTGGCCTCAGTCTGTGACTACATGCCTCTAACTACCTGTGGCCTACTTCTTTAAATCAGTCTCACATAGCTTTTATCCAAGGTAATGAATGACTTTTATATTTTTTTCAATTAGTAATATTGCACCTTAGATAAATTTCATTGGTGATATTGCCACTCCATGAAGCTAACTTTTGTATTTTAATGGTTGGTAAGACAGGTATGGTAACTCGTGTATCCCAGCACTTGGGAGGCCCAGGCATGCAGATTTTTGAATTTGAGGCCAGCTGATCTACACAATGAGTACCAAGACAGTCAGGGTTACATAGAGACCCTGTTTCAAAAAACAAACGAACGAACAAAGACTAGTACAATACAGTGCTAGTGTGTTTGCTTAGCATGTACATGTGTTCAATACCCAGCACTAAAAAAAAAAAAACCCTATTTCCCAGGGTGGTGGTGGCATATACTTTTAATCCCAAAAACCAGCCTGGTCTACAGAGAAAGAGTTCCAAGGCAGCTAGGGCTACACAGAGAACCCGTGTGAAAATAAAATAGATAAAAAGTACTGTATTTCAGGATGGGGATGCTTAGCCCAGTGGTAGAGTTTTTGCATTCACAAGATCCCTGATTCAGCACTGTTCAGCAGCAGAAAGCTTGCCTAGTTCCTAAGTTCAATTTCCTGCACCAAGAAAACAGGTCTAGATTCAATGATCTAATACACAGTATTGAAAATTATCTTTTGTTTTCTGCATGGTCCCCTCATATAGCCTGGCTGTCTCCAAACTCACTAAGTACCTGATTGTCCTGAACTCATCCTGTTGCTTTCGCTCCCCATAGGTTAAGATTACCCATGCTGGGCTTACCACGAGAACATTTGTTTGTTTTGATATAATCCTATTTTATGTATATGGGTGTTTTATTTGCATGCATGTCTGTATACCACTTGTGTGCCTGCTGCCCTCAAAGGCTAAAGAGGGTATTGGATCCCCTAGAACTGGAGTGATGGATGGTTATGAGCCACCATGTGGGTTGCTGGGAACCTGGGTCCAGTAAAAGAACGGACAGAGTTGAGCCCTCTCTGTTGGCCCCCAAATTCCTATTTCTAACAGTACATTAGGCCTAGAAGTTCAATGTCCACCTGGTAACATAGCAAGACTTCTTAAAAAGTTCACAATTCAGCATCCTTAAGTAGCATCACTAAAGCTTGGTGTAGTTTTACATAACTCTAATCCCAGCACATGGACGGAAGAGTTGGGGGAATCTCAGAGCCTGAGGCCAGCCTGGTCTGCAGAGTGAGTTCCAGGACAGCTAAGGCTACACAGAGAAGCCCTGTCTCAAATGAAAACAATGTATCTATGTGTTTTTATGTGTATACATATAAACATAGCCTCATTGACATACACATTGTTGTTTTCACAGTACTACAGCAGAGTTGAGAGTTAAAATATAGACCAAGGTGATCTCAGACTTGCAGTGTAGCCAAGGCTGGTGCTGAGCCTCTTATCCTACTTTCTCTACCTCTTGAAAGCTGATATTACAGGTGTTCAGAGCAAGAGCAGAACTTAACTTTTTGCCAATGATCACGGGGTAAAGTTTTATACAACCTGGGTTATGGATATAGGTATGTAAAACAATAAAATTTAAACATTTACTGATAAACCCTATTTTTTTAATAACAATTCTTTGGTACATATGTAATTTTGTACAAAGATGAAGGCAATCTTGCAAACTAATGAGATGGCTATGCTTATTTTGCATGAAGAAATCTTGGGGTGCTGGAGAGATTGCTTAGACATTAAGAACACATACTTCTGTGAAAGGGGGCCTGATTTTAGTTTTGGTGGCAACTCCAACTTTAGGGCATGTAACACTCTCTGGACTCTGTAGGGAACTGTATTCATGTATACATACACTCACACAAATTCTTTGTTAGGGACACAACAAAGTGGAGAGAGGATCTAACATAGCTCTAGCTATCCTGCAGCTCACCATGTAGATGAGGATAGCCTTGAAGTCTCGGAGATTTACCCGACTCTGCCTCTCAAGTGCTGGGATTAAAGGCCTATGCCACCACACCTGGCAGAATTAGTTAATTTTAAACAGTTTTATGTGGCTAGAGATGGCTCAGCAGTGTAGAGCACTGGCTACCTTTGCAGAGGATCCAGATTCAGTTCCCAGCACCCACACAGCCTGGCCTGATGGCACACACCTTTAATCATGGCACTCAGGAAGGCAGAGGCAGGGGGATCTCTGTGAGTCTGTAGGCCAGCCAGGGCTACACAGAAAAAACCGCATCTCAAAAAAACAAAACACAACAACAACAAACCAGAAAACAAACAAAAACCTGAAAACTGTTAGTGAACAGTGCAGCCTGTTACACGCAGTGGTCTCCAATGTGACCTGAAGTCATTCAGGCAGTGTTTGTCAACGTCTTGCATCATGGAGGCACTGGCAGTGTACAGTGGAGCAGGCTGTGTGTTTAGAATCAGGCCACAAAGAAGCTGGGCTGTGTGCTGTGGGCGATGTGCTTCCAGAAGTACTCCCTTTTCATTACATATTTGATTCTGGATTGATTTTTGGTTCTTGGGAAGCTCAGAAACCTTTTACTGTTGCCAAGGTTTTTAAAACACTTCTTACATAGGGTCGCCTTGGCAATTTAAGAAACTAGGCTCTAGAGAGTAACCGAAACAAGCTGGTCAAATGGGAATGGCAGTATACTGAGATAAAGGACGAAGGCACAGAATTCAGCGCCTAGCACTGCAAGAAAGAAAAAGGCGGGCTAACTCTCTTACGAAGGGTTAGCGTTCCACTCCTCACTTCCATTTTTTAAATTTTCATTATTGAATGTGTAGCGGCGTTTTGCCTGTCTCCCTGCCTGTGCACCATGTTACAGTTGTGAGTCACCACGTGGCTGCTGCTAACTGAACCCGTGTTCTCAGGAAGAGTGCTAAGGGCCCCCAACTTGTACTCCACCTCTCCATCGCTTCCGTTTCTTGTTTCTGAAATAGAGTGTCAATCACTATACGGCCCTGGCTGGCCTGGGACCCACTATGTTGGCCTGAATTTAACAATGCTGGGGTTAAAGGCATATACCACCACACCTGGTCTTGTTTATCTAATTTTTGTGGGTGTGGGTGTTTTGCCTGCATGTAATGTCTATGCAGTGTGCATGCCTGGTGTCACTGGAGGCCAGAAGTCAGATCTCCTGGGACTAATGGAATTGAACCCAGGTCTTATGGTAGAACAGCCAGCGCTCTTAACTGGAGCCATGCCTCCATCCCTGCTAAGTTTAATAAGGCCTGCTCTTTTTCTCCCAACTAAGATTGCCACTTTTTTGTGCTTCTAACACTTTAGTATTTCTAGTGTAACAGTTGGTCTTTTCTCTTTTGGGGGATGTGGTTGTAGTGCCAGGCAAGCGCTCTACCACCAAGTTACACCTGTTACTAGCCCTGGCTGTCCTAGACTTGATAACGTAGACCAGGCTTGCCTCAAACTCAGAGGTCCACCTGCTTCTGCTCCCCACCACAGTGTTAGCATTAAAGACATGGGCCACAAGCCCCAGCTCTTGACATTTTGAGGGAACTGGAGAGATGACTCAGCAGTTACAACACTGGGTGCATATGGCTCACAGGATCCGTTAACTCCAGATCCAGAGAATCTCATGCCCTCTTTTGACCTCTATGTGGGCATCAGGCACACACATGGTACACATTCATACATGCTGTCAAATTACATGTAAACATCAGAAAAAAATTAAAAATTTGAAAGCAGGGAAGTTGCCCAGACTATCTTCAAAGTTAAAATGCTGCCCAGGTAGGCCTCAAAGTTGTCTCAGATTCTTCAGCTGACATTACAAGCCTGTACCATTAGGCCAGACTAATTTTCTTTTCCCTGACAGGTGATAAAGTTCTTAGGATCATAGTGTTTCATTTAGCCTGGCACTTGGGAAACAAGCAGGAGGATCCAGATTACAAGGTCTACATCACCAGTTAGAATCGGGGCTAAGTGACACCAGGAAAAGGCCTTAATACCAGCATATAAGAGATTAAAGCAGGATTAACTTAAATTTGAAGCCAGCCTGAACTACAAGACAAAACACACTAAAGAAGTTTTTACTTTAGCCGTTTTTGAGCCCAAGGCCCACATTCTGCAGATCTGAATACAGCCCCCACTGCACAGTACAGGTAATACTACCATACTGCTCCCCTGCAAGACACCACTCTTCCCCAACACTTGTCTCTGACAGGCAAATACTGTTCTTGGTTACTAACCTCACTAAACCCAAGTGCATTATTTACAAAAGCAGCCCAATAATTTTAAAACAGGTCTCCAGACTCCTCAAATAAACTCATGCAAGGAGACAGTGAATGTCTGGACTGTTCCTCCTTGTCTCACTTGTGGTGCTAATGTCTCAAAGCAGGAGGAAAGGCCCAATCCTAGAAGGCAAATTCGCAAAAGCAGCCCCTCAGCTAAAGGCCACGCATTTCCACCACCCGGGACGGGATTCCAATGCCCCGAAAAACACCAAAGCGGTCCAGGCTTTAAGAATAAAACCGTTTTCCCCACAAACGTAACCAGTGCTGCCAGCCGGGGTGGCCTCATGGCACAGGATCGAACCCGTCCAGTAGCCGCGAGTTCGAGGCCAGTCCGGGCTAAATTGTGACACTCTATCTGCCACAAAAGTGTCCACCCACACGTCTTTCTGGAGCCCGCCTCGTCCCGGCATGGTTTCCACAGCACTACACTCGGCCTCCCGCCGCCTCCATGGGCGGCGCCGACGTTTCTCGGGGAACTAGCCCGCTGCGCGTGCTCAGGCGGTTGGCGGCCAACGGCTGACTAACGCGAGAGGCGAGTCCGGGAGGCCGCGCACGGGAGGACGGCCGGGCTTGGGCGGGCGGAGGAGGGCGGGCTCCGAAGCCTCGCGAAGGGGCCGGCAGGACCGCCCCTTCCGTAGAGATCTCTAGAAAGCCGCGCCGAGCCGGAGGCCCCGAGTGCGCACGCGCGGCGGCAGGCCCGGGCATTTTGCTGCGTCACCAGCCGCCGCCCGGCCTCGCCAGCCCTTGCACGCACGCACGCTCCTGCTCTGTCCTCGCGCCCCTCTCCCTGCACTTTCCTCTTCTCCCGGGCTGAGGCAGCCGCTCTCCGCGCGGTGCATTCTGGGCATCGAGGTCGAGCCCGCCGCCGCCGCCGCCGTCGTCGCCTTACGGGAGCGAGGAGAGGCCGCGACCGGGCAGGAGACGCCGGAGTCGCCGCGGGAGAGGAGTCCGCTCGCCAGCCGCCGAGGCCCGCCCACCCGTTCGCCTGGCCCCTGCCCCGGTCACCATGTGAGTGCGACACCCCGCCGCGGGAAGGTCGTCCCGCAGCGAGGCCGCGCCGCGACTCCGGCTGCCGGGAAACGGCCCTCCGCTCGCCGCCCTCCCCCACCGGCGGCCCTCGCCTTTCTCCAGCTGGCGGCGGCCCTCCGCGGGGCGGGAGGTCCTGTACCCTTGTTGCGGTTACCGTTGGAGGACATTTTTCTCCCCGGAGGTCCGCTTCCCCGGCCCTTCCGTCCGCCAGCTCCGTCGTGCCAGAACCCCCCTTTCCCTCCCTGGACGGCCTGGCCGACTCGGAACTCTGGCAACTTAGCCTTAGGCCCTAAAGTCGTGTGGGAGCTTTTTCGCCATGAGGGCGCCCCTAGCCGTAAAGTCACTGTCTGCTCGGGCGGCCGAGGTTCGTCGCTCGGTGGCGGTGCCCGGAAAGCTGCGGCGGCGGCCGATGGGGCACCACGCGGCCCTCCGCCCTCGGCGGCGGCCACTGCTAGGCAACTAGAGGGGCCCTTGCCGTCACCACAACGAAACTTCCCGTTCTCATGTCTCGGTCCCTTGAGCCCTTCCAGACCTTCCTAACTCCGGTCTCTTGAAAAGGGTGAACGTTAACACAGCCACTTCCTTGGCAGCGAGTAGTTACTATGCAGCAAGTAGTTCTGCACGTGTCTAGTCACAAGATACTTGTGGACTTTTTCTGTGTTCCTCAGTAAACTTTGGGTGGCATTTCGTTATGCTCCTTCCATGGAAGGATTAAATAGGTATGGATGACAATTTTACTGGCCTGAAGACCTTACTTTGTTGGAGGTGGTTACAGATTCTTTTTTGTTAGCTTTTTGGTAAAAAGACCTTTTAACCTATTAAGAATTTTTAGCCTTACTTTTCTAGGCCTTATCAAGAAAACTTTTCAAAAGTGAGGGAATTGAAATTGAATTACAGGGTTTGGGAGTGGTATAGGTGGGGACTATGCTCAGCCCTAAAAGTTAGTTATGAGTAGTGATAGAAAAGAAGCTATAAAATTTAACAATTGTACAAGTTTAAGGGCTTGCTTGAATAGTTTATGGTTAGAAATCTTAAATGGATAAAAGATAACCTAGAGCTAATTAGCTGCTGAGAAGAAGGTCCTAGAAGAAGGCATGTAGTTCTAGAAAATGTGTAAAGAAATTTGGAGCATACACAAAATCCTAGATATATAACAGGTTAACTTACATTTTTTATTATATTTACTTGTTTTTGTGTGTGCTATTGGAGGTGAGGACAACCTGTGGGAAGATTTGTGGGGATAGAACTCAAGTTATTTCCTCTTTATATTTAATGTAACAAGTTGATTGAACATATGTAAGGAGAAAACAAGTAAAAACATAATTTAATAGATGAATATATCCAAACAAGACATCTTTTCATCCAGAAGTACCAATTTAGGAGCTAGAGAGCTGGATACAGTACTGGCTACTCTTGGACCCGGTTTGTATTAACCAGTATCCACACACAGTGTCTCACAGCCTTCCATAACTCCAGTTTTAGGGTATGTGGTGTGCATACATGCAGGCAAACATTCTTGCACATAAGAGTTTTTTTTTTTTTAAAGCAAGTATCATCTAAAATGACTTGTTTGGAAACTGTTCTTTGGGTAATATATTCTAACCATCTTTTCTAATTACAATACCTTAATGTTTTTGTTTACAGCTTTTTAAGATTTATTTTTATTGGGCTTGGAGAAGGGGCTCAGATTGAGAGTGCTTGCTGTTATCGCAGAGAATCTGGGTTCAGTTCACATCACTCATGGTGTGCCCTCTTCTGACATGGCAAGCATGTGGTGCATATGTATACTTGTATGCAGTCAATTCTAGTACACATAGAGTAAAAGTAAATTAAGTTGTGTTATTTTTAATTGTGTGTGCGTGTGGGTCTGTACATTCTAATGCAGGTGCCTGTAGAGAGCAGAGGTGTTACATTTGAATCTGGAGTTAGAGGTAGTTGTGAACCACCCATTGTGGGTGTGAATATTTTGCCTGCATGTTATGTCAGTATCACCTCCATGCAGCACTTCCAGAGGCCAAAAGAGGGTGTTGGGTCACCTGGAACTAGAGGGAGTTAGAGATGGTTGTGAGTCACCATGAGGATGCTGGGCATAGAACCCTGGGTCCAGTGGAAGAGCAGCCAGTGCTCTTAATCAACCAGCCACTTTCCAAACTCCATCAACTTTCAGTTTTTAGAGGTAAGTCCTTGCTGTGTAGCCCCTAGCTGTCCTGGAACTATGTAGACCAGGCTGGAGATCAACTGCCTCTGCTTCCCTGAGAGCTAGCATTAAAGGTGTGCATCACCACTCCTGGCCCTAGTAACTTTTTCTTAAGGTTTGTTTTTGCTTTTTAGTTCTTTGAGAGAAATTGTTGTGGCTTTATGTAGTCTTGGCTGTCCTGGACTTTACTTAAAGATTGTTTTTTTTGAGGCAGGGCCGATCGATGCTGCCAAGGTGCTCTATAGTCCTGATATAGGAGAGGCTACCCTTGAATTTCGAATCTACCTCTCTCCACCTCCCAAGTGCACACCTTTAAGATCAAGGCCAGTCATGTCCACATAGGCTCAGTTGTGCGCACACCTCTTACTTTTATCTTTTGTTTTCAAGACAAGGTTTTTCTGTGTAGACCAGGCTAGCTAAAACCACCGGCTTCTCCCTCCAAGTGCTGAGATTAAGGGTATGCACCACCACCACATCTGGTACACCTTTTTTTTTTTTTTAAGTTTGCAGCATTATGAATATTTGAAAATCTGGTCTTGTTTTAAAATACAGGGTAAAGAGTGGCTCATCCTTTAAGAGTCAAGCTGTTCAGAGGATCTGGGTTCAATTAATTCTTGGACCCCATGTGGTTGCAGACAACAATAGGTAACTGATTTCAGGGGGCCCAGCACCCTCTTTTGGCCTCTGTGGGCACTGGGCATATAAGCATTGTTCTTCCATACATGTAGGCAAAACATGTGCAAAATAAATATGAACAACTCCTTAAAAGATAAAAATGTCAGCTGACTAAAGTGGTGCATGGCCTTTATCCCAGGACTCAGGAGGCAAAGGTAGGGGATCTCTGAGTTCTGGGACAGCCAGGGCTATGCAGAGAAACCCTGTCTTGAAAAACAAGACAGATAAAAATGTTCAGTATATACAGTTTTGTTAACATTAAGGCATTTATTAACTATTTATTGATACAGAATTCTAACGTGAAAACTGATGATGTTCAGTTTGATACTAGTTGTAAATAGGCTCTTTTTTTTTTTTAATTCTTTAAGACAGGGTTTTAGTATATAGCCCTGGCTTTAATCTCACCATGTTGCCCTGCAAAGTAGACCAGGCTGGCCTTGAACTCAAGGAGCTCTGCCTGCCTCTGCCTTCCAAGTACTGGGATTAAAGTTAAGTGCCACAATGCCTGGCCTCTTTGTTTATTTTCCTTTGCAGAACTCCCAAGATTTTAATCTGGGAGTTTTAATCTGAAGATTTTAATCTTAAGCTTTCCAGCCTTATAATGAGCATGTGGTATTTGGTTGTCTTGTAAATTTGAAAGGAGTTAACTGATGGTTGTTGTTCAATGTTGATTTTTCTAACCACTGTAACCTGGCAACTGATTTTTCTTTTTTTTTCTTGCTGAGTTAGACTTTAACTAGAAGGCATAGAAACAAAGTGACACATTTCTGGGTTGTAGTTTACTCCTATTGCCAATTTATGATTACTGCTTAATTTTCTGTTTTAAAAAATTAGAAGCCAAAAAAAAAATTTTTTTTGGGGGGGGGGGACTCTTAAATAGTTACTTTTTCCCTCCCCCAAACCAGAAAAACTATAGAACAGATGGTTGGGTTGGGGTTTTTGAGTAGATCTCCCTATGTATGGCAGGCTGACATGGAACCTGTAGTCAGTCCTTCTACCATCCAAACGGAGAGATTAGAAGCATATGCTACCATGCCTAGCTTTGTTTACACTCTCAAATGTAGAACTGTTGTCTTCTGCTATCAAGGGTAGAACCTAGGGCTTCTTTTACACATGCTGGGAAACTGCTCTACCATTGTGCTATGGTCCTAGCCCTGTTATTGTATAGTTTTTGGGGGAGGCAGGGAGAGAGGATTGAGACAGGGTCCCACTGTGCAAACCATACTAGCCCTGAACTCTAGAGCTTTGCCTCCTGAGTGCTGGGATTAAAGGTGAGTACTACCACCTCCTGGCTAACCCCCTTTTAAAAATAAATCCAGCTTTGAGAAGCTAAAACTTAATGGAATACATGGTGTAATAATGTGTGTGTGTGTGTGTGTGTGTATGTGTGTGTGTAGATGGCTGGTCTTGAGTTCCTCTCAGATGTAAAATATCTAGTCTTGTGAGTTTTCTCTGGAGTGCCCTGTTATCTTGGCACATAATTTGAGAAACAAATCCTTCCCAGATTTTTTGAGGCAAGCTCTTAGGAGGGGGGATGAGAGTCTCCCACTATGTAGTCCTGGCTGGCCCTAAACACAGAAATCTGCCTCCTGAGTGCTGGGGTTAGCTAAAACTTTTTTTGGAGATGGGGCAAGCCTGAAACCAAAATGTTGGCATTATAGGCATGTTTGAATGTGCCTGGCTTTCCATAGAACTTTGGTATCTCCTTTGTCTTGTTTTTATTACAAATTGATACAGATAGAACAGTTTTCACTCTTTAGTGAATTTCTGATCCTTCTGCCTCCATGTGTAATACCAGCTCTGGGAAGTGTAAAGGCAGGTTTGTTATAGTTTGAGGCCGTCTAGAACTGAGTTACAAGGCTCTTATAATAAGGCTTTCCTAAAACAAAACAAAACAAAAAATCTCTGAAAGGGAGAGTTTTTCTCTGGGAATATGGTTCAGCCAGGAAGAGCACTTGTTGAATCAGATGAGGATCTGGGTTCACATTTCCATCACCCACATAAAAGCCGAGTACGCTGCTGCATGGGCAGGACGCTAGGGTTGCTGGGACTTACTGGCTCTTTGCACATGTACTACATACAAACATACTATCAATTTTTGTGGAATTTTGTGTGTGAAGCTGAGGCCTGAGCAGTTTTTCCTACATAACCAGTATACCTTCTTCATTGGTGTCATGGTCTTTAAATTGCACAGAGAGCACAGACCAGACTGTCCTGGAACTTGCAGTAATATTCCTACCCTAGACTCCCCAAGGCACCTCACCTGGCTCAAGGATTTTCCTCTCTCCTGATAAATCTCTAGTGTAGTTACCAGTACAAACTTCCAGTAAACATTTAATGGTGTTCAAGCTCTAATGTGCTTTGTATAGCATGATTACATGAGATGCTTTAAATTCAATATGTCTGTCCCCTGTTAACCAGATAAAAAGTAAATTGGTGGTTGAAAAATAGCAAGGCTGGGAGATGGTCCATCACTTAAAAGCTGGGTGTGGTAGTGCATGCCTTTAATCCTAGTGCCGGGGAAGCAAGAGCCAGGCAGTTCTTTTGAGTTGGAGGCCAGGTTGGCCTGCATAGTGCCAGGACAGCCAGTGCTATCTAGAGAGACCCTGTCTCAAAAAAACCTAAAAACACTTCCATGTGAAGGCTCACATGCATAATTCCAGCTTGAGGATTACACACCTTTGACTTCTGTAAGCAAAACACTCATAACATAAACCTTGACCCCAAAATTAAGAAAATTAGTTTTGAGCCTGTTTATTTTAGAAAGCTCAGGAAGCACCACAAGCACATACAAAGTGCCTCTGACAGACTGAGTCCTTTAGTTTAGGGCTGTTGGTTACCGTCAACAGACTCAACCTTTCAGCTCACCTAAGACTTGAAAGACACTGACTTTTCTGGTGATTTCTTTTTTTCTTGTTTTTGTGTAGTTTCCATATGAAGCTATTAATTGATGACTAGTGAGATTTTACAGTTCTTCCCACTGTCACAAAGATTAAGTAGCACATCTTTGTATTGTATATTTATAGTTTCTTAGTGATTGCTATTAAGCTTGCTATTTTTTGTGGTACATTGTTAGGATTTTAATATTATCTAGCTAGATGGTAGTACTTTTTAAAGATGCTGTTTATGTGTGAGCATCACATGTGGGTGTTTGCCAGATGTGCGTGGTGGGTTTCTGAGGACTCTGGATGAGTGTCTAGGCTTTTGGAGCTGGAGTTACAGGCTACATGAGGTACCTATGTAGGTGTAGGTGCTGAGAACTGAAAACAAATCTGGTGGTTGGTGGATCTCACATAGATCTGCCTGCCTCTGCCTTCCAGAGTGCTGGGATTGCAGACAAGTGAGCACCACCGCACCTGGTTTCAGATCTAGTAACCAAGCCTGAGGACCTAGAATCCACATGGTAGGAGGAAGAGAACCAACTCCTACAAGTGGTCCTTTGCCCTTTATGTATGTGCACACACAATATTCAAATCAGAAATTTAGTATTTAAAGTTTTTTAAATAGTTAGAATTTTTTTTAGGCATGTCTTCACATAGTTTGATCAAGAAAATTCACTGTAAGAATGCCTTTTAGTTGACTTAGAATCCAGTCAGGTTTACAGCCAAGATTATTTTGATAAGGACTATTTTATCTATGTCCTCAGTGGGTTTTATTTATTTCTATAAAATTCCAATTTAAGCCTTTGAGGGTATGTGATGTGATGGGTGTAAGTGTGGGCATGCATGTGGAGGACAATGTTTTGGAGTCCATAGTTCTCACTTTATGTGAGTTCTGAATTTTGGGGGGGAGGGTTTCAGACAGGGTTTCTCTGTGTAGACCTGGCTGTCCTTTAACTCAGGTCTGCCTGTCTACCTCCCATGTGCTGGGGTTAAAGGTGTGTGCCACCGTGCCTGGCAAAGATCACAGTTTCTAAGGCTGGATTGCTCCAAAGGGAAAAAAGAGTGTTGTTTAAAAAAGAAAAAAAAATAATTCATCCACTTAAAATGCAGTGCTTACTTGTAGTGCTTTGGTTCAAACCCAGGGTCTTACCCATGCCATTCTGGGGGGACAATAGTTCAGATTGGGTTCTATTCCAAACCCTAAATTTAGATGAGATTATAGGTATGAACTACCACTCTCAGCTAGTTTCTTTATTACTAAATTATTTTTTTATTAATTATGATTTATTTGTTTTGTATCCCAGCTGCATTTCCCTCCCAATCCAGCCTTCTCTACCTCATCTCTTCCCATCTTCCTCCCCCAGTACACTGTTGGGGAGGGGGAGGTCCTTCCTTCCATCTCCTATCAGGTCTCATCAGAATTGGCTATATCATCTTCCTCTGTGGCCTGGTAAGGCTGCTCCTTCCTCAGGGGAAGGTGATCAAAGAGCCAGCCACTTGAGTTTATGTCAGGGACAGCCCCTGTTCCCCTTACTAGGGAACCCTACTCCCCGTTTTAATTAAAATTTTCTTTATTGCTAAAAATTACTGGTGTATTCTTAGCAACCAGGAAGCCTCCAAGATCTGCCCAGCTAAGGACAGGATTACCCTTTCCAATCCTCTGAATAAAATGTTTTGTCAACTTCCACCCCTAATTTAATTCTAGGCCAGAAGTGTTACTGCATGATTTAAATCCCAGCAAAGATAGGCAGATGTCTATCTGAGTGAGTTCCAGGATGGCCAGAGCTACTTAGTCTAAAAGAAAAAAACAAAAGGCGGGGGGTGGGGGGTGGGTTTAAGCCAGGGCTGGAGAGATGCCTTGTTGGTTAAGAGTAGTTACTGTTCTTAGGGCCTAGAGTTTGGTTTCCAGCATCTGTGTATGGTGGTTCACAGACAGTTCTTCTGACATTGATGAGTATTTAGGAGGTAGAGTTAGGAGGATCACAAGTTGGAAGCCAAGTCTGATCTCTGTAGTGATTTCCTGCTTAGCCAGGGCTATGTAGAAAGACCCTGTCTCAGAAAGGGGTTTCTCACTGTAACAGCCCTGGCTGGTCTGGAACTCACAGATTTCTGTCTGACTCATTGGTGTTTTTGTTGAAGACTTTGGTCTGATTGAGAGTTTTAATTTTTTTTTTTTTTTTTTTTTTTTTTAGATCTATCCACCTTAGGCTAAATACACCACCTGGCTAAGATTTACTTTAAAACTTACAGATCAGATAGTGTGGCAACATCTTTAATCCCAGGCAGAGGCAGGTAGATCCCTGAGATCAAGGCCAGCCTTGGCAGGCCACATGAGATTCTGTGGGTGAGGTCAGAAAAGAGGGCTGGCAGTGACAAGGTAACATAGCACTTTTTGCCAACTAAAAGAACCTGAGTTTAGTTTTTAGAACCCACAAGACTGAAACAACTACTGCAAATAGTTCTGACTTTAAAGGCACATTGGTTGGTACCTGTATGTGTACATAAAAGATAAATGTTTTTTTAAAAACTGTAAAGTCAACATCAATTCATTACAAGTTTTATAAGGAAAAGAGGCATTTGAAATTTGATATGAAATCAAAATTGAATGATGATGTACACCTGAAATTCCAGTATTCAAGAGGGTGGGGAAATTCTCTCATTGCAGGCCAAGACTCAAACAGTGAGACCCTGTCATAAAGCAAACCAAAAAGCCAAGGGTGTGCCGTGTAGTTAATAAGGAAAGCTCAAGACATCTGCCAGTAGGTACTAAGGAGATAGCTTATTCTAGCTAGCTGTTGTTATTTCAGATTGGGATGCTACCATATGTCATTTTGTAACAGCCCTGGCTGTTCTGGAGCTTAGTCTGTAGACCACAGTGATCCACCACCTGCCTCTGCCTCCCAAGTGCAGGGGTTAAGTTTTTTGTTGTTGTTTGGTTTTTTGTTCTTTTGAAACAATACTGATTACTGTGTGTGCATATATACTGGACATATGTGGACTAAAAACAACTTGCAGACATTCTCGACAAGGTGGGTCTCAGAGTTGGAACCATTTCAAGTAGTAGAGCTTGAGTACAAGTGCTCCCCAGATCCTCTACAAGAGTAGCCATCTCTACCATCAAGCATTCTGTGAGACAACAGCTTGGTGTGGACCAAGCTGGCCTAAAATTTCCAGTCCTTTCCTTCAGTCTCCTGAGTTTTGGGATGACAAAATGACATACATTAAGATATTTTTGTTTCAGGCTTTGCTGCATCAAACCCAGACCCTGTACATGTGGGCAGACATTATGCCACTGAGACTGTAAAATAGTATATAGTTGAATGTATGCATCTTAGTTTCAATAGTAACGGTCTAAAGGCTCATCACCTAGTGATTGGAGTTAAATGTTAGATTTTCGCCTTTGAAGTCCCTGTTACACTTGGAACTCACCGTAGATCAGGCTGCCTTTGAACTCGGGTCCCTCTGCCTCCCTGGTGCTGGGATTAAAGGTGTGAGCTACCACCACCTGGCTTCTTTTTGTTGTTGTTGTTTTGCCTTCTCTCCTGTAAAAATACTAGAAAGATAAATGCCATTGAGTGGGTAGGCAAAGGAAAATCGGGCATTCAAGGCCAACATTGGCTACCTGAAAACCCTGCCTCATTCTTCCAACTCTCAAAATAAAATCACCATTAGGAAGGTTTAAGTCCTTAAGTTGCTTTGTCGAAGCTTTTGGAATGTAAGATACATGTAAAGTAAAACTTACACTGTAATGAAGAAGATAAATGAATTACTGTGTTAAATGTGAGGTTAAACTCAAAATTGCTTGAATGTATCATTTTCTTTGTAGGCAGCCTGCTTCTGCAAAGTGGTACGATCGAAGGGACTATGTGTTCATTGAATTTTGTGTTGAAGACAGTAAAGATGTTAATGTAAACTTTGAAAAATCCAAACTTACTTTCAGGTAATTGCCTTTTATCTTAAAGTGACTTATGTGATAAGATACCATGACCTTTGGATTTATTGGGTTTACCTATCCACTGTTAAGCTGTTGGAGAGGACAAGATGCTGCTTACTTACAGAACCCCAGACCCAGGGGTGAATCTACACACAATGGGCTGGGCCTTTCGGCCCTTCTCCATCAGTCACAAATAAGAAAATGTCCTACAGCCTGATCTTACAGAAGCATTTTCTCATTTGAGGCTTCTTTCCCTCAGATAACTCTGGCTTGTGTCCGAGTGACCTCAAACTACCTACTACTACACCTTTTCATAGAGTGTTACCCAAAGTTTACTTCAGATAATTGAGAACCTTTAGGTTGCTTTTCTTTTGCTGAAGCTATTACTGATCTTTTGTTTAAAGAGGCTCATTTTAATTCTCTCTTTTTTAGTTGTCTCGGAGGAAGTGATAATTTTAAGCATTTAAATGAAATTGATCTTTTCCACTGTATTGATCCAAATGTAAGTAGTATTGATGCTTTAATTCTGATTTAAATTGTGAGACATTGACATGCTGATAGTTGTCTTAGGGTTCCATTGCTCTGAAGGGATACACAACCATGAACTCTTACAAAGCAACACATGTAACTCAGGCTGGATTACAGTTCAGAGGGTCAGTCCATTATAGTCATGGAAAGAAGCATGGGAGCGTGCAGACAGATATGGTGCTGGAGAGGTAGCTTGGGAGTTCTACACCTGGATCAGCAGGAAGTGTCTGAGACACCCTAGGCCTGTCTTGAACTTCTGAGGCATCAAAACTCACCCCCGTGTGGCATCACACTTCCAACAATGCCTGGCCTCCCAATAGTGCCAGCCCAAATGATCCTATGGGGCCATTTTCATTCAAACTACCACAATAGTGCCCATTTAATCTGCTTAGCATAAGAGTTTAGAGGCTGCAGTGTTTTGCAACCTCCTTTATATTTGTATTTTTTCTGTTACCAGACAGATGAGAGTACCTTTGAAGCCTGTCTTCCAAATAGTAAGAGATTGTTAGTAGCCAAGGGCTAGTTTAGAGAAAGTAGAATTGAAAAAGAACCAGTTAGGTGGCTTGTGCCTATAGGCTGAACTTTCAGAAAGTTGAGGCAAGACAGCTTTACCTACATAGAAAAACATCTTAAAAAAAAAAAAAAAAAAAAAAACAAGCAGCCAAAGGCACCCACCTGTGATCCCAACACTCACGGAGGCAGGCAGATCTCTGTGAGTTTGAAGCCAGCCTAGTGTATAAAGCAAGTCCAGAACAGCCAGGGCTACATAGAGAACCCATGTCTCAAAACCAAAAGTAAATAAGTAGATAAAGCTAAAAAAGAAATGTATGAAAAGGGAGACATAGAAAGGGATAGCCTATTTTTATCATGATAATGGAGAAGGAAAATGGTGTGTTGGTGCTTTTGTTTCAGGATTCCAAGCATAAAAGAACGGACAGATCAATTTTATGTTGTTTGCGAAAAGGAGAATCTGGCCAATCGTGGCCTAGGTTAACAAAGGAAAGGGCAAAGGTAAGTTTTCATTTTCTGTGTTTGAACATTTAACCTTTTAAAAATTAAAAAATACATTTTTACAGTATATTTTATAGTAGTATAAAAGATGGAGTTCTCTTGGTTCTCACCAGGTGTCATAAAATCAGTCTCTAGTTGATAACGGAAACTTTACATTCAAGAGGCAGGCTTTCACATCAGGTGTGATGGCACACTGAGGCTAAGAGAGAAAGATTGTGACATTGAGACTATCTTGCCTGAGTGTCTTAGTCAGGGTTGCTAGTGCTGTGGGGAAACAACTTGGGGAGGAAAGGATTTATTTGACTTAAGCTTCATCCATAGTTCCTCACAGAAGGAAGTCAGGATGGGAACTTAAACAGGGTGAGGACCTGGAGGCAGGAGCTGATGCAGAGGCTGTGGAGGAGTGCTGCTACTGGCTTGCTCCTCATGGCTTGTTCAGTCTGCTTTCTTAAAGAACCCAGGACCACCAGCCCAAGGATGGAACCACCACAGTGGGCTGAGCCCTTCTTTGATCAGTAATTAAGAGAATGTCCTACAGCTGGTCTTAACTGATATTCTCCCATTTGGGTTTACTTCTCTCAGAGAACTCTTTCAAGTTGTGACGGATGACATAAAATTAGCCTGCACACTGGTCTCTGTAGTCAGAGCTTGTCCTTTTTTAGGGGTGGCCTTGGTACTTTGTGTCTTCAAGGTCCTGAGTTTACTCCCTGACACAGAAGGCTACCCAGGCATGAAGAATCATGCAGAGGCAGGAGAATCAAGAGTTCAGGACCATCATGGGCTGCAGAAGCTAAGTCTGTCTATCTTAAACAGGAAAAAGGAAGACAGGAAAAGCTTTTATAAGTTACTTGGCTGTCATAGGGGTACAAAATTTGGTGACACTTAAGATTCAGGGTTGCTGAATCTGGCGATAGGCTGGCAGAATGGATTAGTGGGTAAAGGTGATTGTTGCCAAATTCAATATGTAAGAAGCAGGCAGATGATTTCTTTGGAATTGAGGCCAGGCAGGGTTTCATAGTAAGGTACTCTAGAATGGAAACAGTGGCACTAGGGATATAGCTTAGTTGGCAGAGTACCTACTATGGACAAAGCTGTAGGTTGAATGCAGCCTGATAACGTGTCTTATAGTCTATCTCTGCAGAGGATTAAGGTTAGCCTTTGTAAGTTTAATTCTGGGTAGAAGACAGTCCTTACCAGTGAGTATTTCATATAAAGATAAGTTAAGCATTAAAATGATTGTGGACTTATTACGACTTTGATTTCTTGTGGATTTTTCTCTTTTGTGCAAATTTTATGTCCCGTTAGTGGTTATAAGTAACAGGAAGGCAATATTTTTGTTGATCTATAGCTTAATTGGCTTAGTGTGGACTTCAATAATTGGAAAGACTGGGAAGATGATTCAGATGAAGACATGTCTAATTTTGACCGTTTCTCTGAGGTAAGTTCTTTTAGTGGCATTCTCTACCCTGTTCCCATAATATAGTTCTATACAATCCTGAGGTAAGTTCTTTTAGTGGCATTCTCTACCCTGTTCCCATAATATAGTTCTATACAATCCTTTTAATTTTTTTTTTTTTTCATTTTAATATGTATGGGTGGTTTGGTTTTGTTTGTGTCTGCACTACATGAGAATCTGGTGCCCGTGGAGGTCTGAAAATGGTATTGAGTCCCTTTAAATGGAGTTACAAAGGCTATGAGCTACTACGTGGTTGCTAGAAATCAAAACCTGGTCTTCTGCAAGAGGAACAACTATTCTCAACCAGAGTTACCTTTGGTTTTTGAGACAGAGTTTCTTTGTGTAGCCCTGGCTGTCCTGGACTCACAGAGATCCACCTGCCTCTGCCTCCTGAGTGCTAGGGTTAAAGATATACACTGCCCAGCTGAAAGTCAGCTTTTAAAATGACTTGTAAGTTACTGTAGTTAAGGAGGCCTGTGAAATGGCTCTTCCTCCATGTGCACTCTGATGTGTAAATAAATGTAACTTCTAAATATTACTGATGGCAAGTGCTACACACCTGTAATCCTAGTAGTTGGGGAGACAGAAGCAGACAGATTTCTGGGAGATTGAGGCCAATCTATTGGTCTACAAAGTGAGTCTGGGAAAGCCAGGACTACACGGAGAAACCCGTCTTAAAATATAAAAACAACAACAAAAATACACTTTTAATATTAATGTGTGAAAATAAGTTTTAAAATGAATGATAATGTGCTGAAGAGGTGTCTGCTCTTCCGGTGGATCTGATGATCCTCCTCTGGTCTCTTTGGGAACCAGGCTTGCATGTGATGCACAAACATACAGGGAAAACACCCATATATATAAACTGCAGTAGCAAAAATATGAAAATTCCTTTAAAAATATATGCTCTTCTCAGTCCTGTATAACTAGTTGTTCGGCCCAGTCTTGAAACCATTCTAGAATCTTAAGTTTAGCAGCTGTTACCTCGCTTTGGAACTGTATGGTACACATGCCTTTTAAACACCACCATCATGGTCTAGAGAGATGGTCTTGAGGTTAAGAGTTCTTCTTGCTTTTTCGAGACAGAATTTCTCTGTGTAGTTCTCCTGGGTGTCCTGGAACTTGCTCTGTAAACAGGTGGATCACTGGGTCTGCAAAATGAATCCAGGACAGCCAAGGCTATACAGAAAAACCCTGTCCTGAAAAAACCCTGTCCAGGAAAAAAAAAAAAACAACCCAGCAACATAAAAAGAGTTCTTGTTGCTCTTGCAAACAACCTGGGATTGGTTCCCAGACCCCAGACAATTGGGTTACAATTGTTCATGTGTCTGAAAACTTGCTTGCATGTTTATCTGCCTGAGAGGAATTCAGAAGATTGACGAGTTGTGAACCATCATTTGGTTACTTGGAAATAATGTAGATCCTCTGTAAGCGCAACAAGTGCTCTTAACTGCTGACCCATCTCTTCAGTCCCCCCAAAATAAAAAGAATTTAAGAAACAGGAGCTTCATGGTGAGTCGTTAATATTGAAATGTGTGGAAAGATTTTTTTTTTTTTTTTTTTTTTTTTGATGGTGGAATCAAGAAGAGGAGCCAGGTGTGGCCGACGCCTTTTAATTCCAGTACTGGGGAGGCAGAGGCAAGAGAATCTCAGGGTTCAAAGACCGGCCTGGTCTATATAGTTCCAAGACAGCTGGAGATAGACTGAGACCTTGTCTCTTAAACAAAACAGAAGGTGAGATGGTGGACAGAGAAGGCTTTTTATGATGTTTTGTAAATGTCACAAATATGTTAATGTGACCAACACAGGGAAATAATTTGTTAGTTGTATATTAAGGAGAAAAGTGAATGCCTACTCAGCTTGCATGAAGCCCTGCTTGCATTCTCAGTCTCCAGAATTTTTGAAGCTTGGAGTGAGCACAGATTTAATAAGGGGAGGATCAGAGGTTCAGGGTCATCCTCAGCTACAAAGTAAGGTTGAGGCCAGTCTACACAGTATGGCCTCAGTGAAAAATTAGGGGCTGTGTTTCCAACGTGTGCTTAACTGCTTACTTAGCATCTCAAATGGCTCTTAATCTCAGAGAGTGAATAGCTTTGACTTCTGTAGGGGTTTTTTTGCTTATTTTACCTCCTAACCAGCTGTCAGATATCATATTGCTGTTGTCTAGTCAACACTTGGCCTGTGCTTGGCACATTTTGGGGCACTTTTCTTGTTTAGAGAAATTTTATATTTTTTTGGGTTTTGTTTTTTTTGGGGGGGGGTTCAAGACAGGGTTCCTCTGTGTAGCTTTCGCTGTCCTGGTCTCACTTTGTAGACCAGGCTGGCCTCAAACTCAGAGATCCACCTGCCTCTGCCTCCCCAAGTGCTGGGATTGTAGGCTTGCACTACCATGCCCAGCTGATCTTGTACTTCTGAATTCTGCCACCTGCTTGTACATTCATTCTCTTGTTTTCAGATTGCTTATACTCTGCCCTTTACAGAAAGCAAAGTTTTTAAGTTTCTTTTCTGTTCATTCATTGGTCAGAACTTACACTGTATTGTAAGCCTATTGTGGAATGTGCAGCTTTGCAAAGTAGATTGTAAAACTGACTTTATGCTTCAAATAGATGATGGATCACATGGGTGGTGATGAGGATGTGGATTTACCAGAAGTAGATGGCGCAGATGAGGTAAGTATATGAGCCCTCTTTTCTGTTAACTGATAGTAAGACCGCGAGTTTACAGATGGTCTTATATCCTCAGTAGCTCCCCTGCGAGTGTGCACTGATCCTTACTGTCAGTCCATCTTGTTTCTTAATATCTTAAAGGGAAACACTTTTTTTTTTTCGGATGTCTAGTTTTTAGGGATTTTTACCTACTAGGGAAATTATATTTGTGGATCATTAAGGATTTGTGTTTTGAACAAATCATTGCATAAAGGTAAGAGTTAAAAGATTATCACTTACCAAGGATGTAAATAGGATTTAAAACAAGGTCAGAGACTTTAGTAATAAAGGAGTGTGAATGTGCTCCACTACTTCTTTCGTCATTACTTCCTCAACAATCTGTTAATATGTTAACACAAAGTTGTTTATGTATTTGGGAGAATTCTCAGCTTCAGTGCTTAGAATTCATTGTCTTCTTAATTATGTATTATGCCAAGAGAAGATGACAAAGTTGGGGAAGAACTTGAGGGTGGGCTCACCTCCATCACAGCGGACACAGCACTTTACAGAAAGATGGGTCTTCTGCTCCGTGGTCATTCACTGTAGGGAAATACGTTCTGGAGTTGATCATTAAATTCCTAGGTTCCGTGTTACTATTTTGCCAGTATAGTGGTGGTGGGGAAGCTTAGAATTTTTAAGGTAAAAAAATGTGAGTGGAGACTTGTATGTATGATCAGCTTGGTAACTTTTTAAATTTTCTTTTTCAGGATTCCCAAGACAGTGATGATGAAAGTGAGTGTCTTGGATTGTTTGTTTTAATGTTTTTGATGCAGTGGTTGTCAATACTTAGAACAGGGTTTTGGAGCAGACACCAACTACCTGTGGTTTGTTTGTGCTCAAGGACAATTTAGTTTAAAAGAATAGTAGAGTATAGGTTAGGTAAAAAATTTCAGCAGCCACTAGGAAAAGTAGAGGGAAAGATTATACTTTTTATAATTATTTTATGTTCATTTTTTACCTGCATTTATGTCTGCACTGTACATATACCTGGTGCCTGGGATGGACAAAAGAGGCTGTCAGAAGCAGTGTGCCATTGCATGTACCTGTAATCCCAACATTCAGGGAAGCAGAGGCAGGTGGTTCTCTGTTTGAGGACAGCCAAGGCTACACAGAGAAACCTTGTCTTATAAAACAAACAAACAAACAAAAAAATTAGAAAAGGAAAAGGCATTGGACTAGTAAACTAAGTAAAGAGCCTAAAAAGCCTTGTAATTTTTAGACCTGGTTTTACTCTTGAAGCTGTGGTTGCATGCTCAGTTTTCAGTTGTTCCCAGGCGACAGCTAGGGAGCTGTGGTTAGTGTTAGATCTGCTGTAGTTCTCTTGTAGACCTCGCTGATTGGTTCTAAAATCTTTTCAGAAATGCCAGATCTGGAGTAAGGAGTGTTGTCATCGCCTGGATTTTGAGAAAGAAAAATAACTTCTGCAAGATTTCATAATTGAGAAAATCCCTGAGTTGATATCTCTAAAGGCAGATGCTGTACTTGCCTCCTTTAACCCATTTTTCAACCTGGAAAAACTTTTTTTTTTTTTTTTTTTTTTTTTTTAAGGCTTCACTAAGGGTTGATAATGTACCTTTGTATGGGGCAATTTAAGTCAGCTAAGGCAATACCCTTATGCATGAACATTTCCCAGGATTCCATAAAGCAGTTGAGACACTAGGCAAACCGTTATAGCAGCTCTGATGAATAAACACATTCACCTAAGTCTTCTTTCTTCATAACACAGTTACTTCTATCCTAGGAAGCCCTCAGCTTAGGGAAACATACAGGTTTAGATCCTAGACCATGGACTTTGAAGGAGGCTGAAACAAATTGGCTGAGATCTTAAACTGCCATGCTTCCAGTGTACCTTTCAGAATTATTCCACTAAAGTTTATTTTTCAGAATACCCTTTACATCATTGTATGTGACCACTTGTCAGTGTTCAGGTATATTTTAGCTAAAACTAGTGAATGCCCTAACTTAGATGGTTTTTGAAGCCTATACATTTGGTATTGTTTGGCCCTTAAGCTTTTACATCTCTTAGCATGGAGGACAAAGAAAGCTGTACATTGTTGCTTGAGAGTATGTACATTTTAGACCAGATTTGTATTTGCACTGTCAGTATGGCAAATGAGTGGAAAATGTTAATACACTATTGGGTTTGTTTTTTTTTTTTGTTTTTTTTTTTTTTTTTTTTTTTTTTTTTTTTTTTTTTTTTTTTTTTTGTTTTTTTTTTTTTTTTGTTGTTGTTGTTTTTTTTTTATTTCCTGTTTTGGTTTCAGCTTATGCTCTGGCTGGAAAACCTCAATTTATGTTCATGACAGTGGGGATTTTTTTAAATGTCTACATTCTTTCTAATAAACTGTTGGAAGATTTCTTGGCAGTCCTTTTAAGTGTCTGTTTGCTGTAATTTCATGTATTTACCCTTTACTGGAATGGAGTGTATTTTTGAGGGAAAAAATTGGGACTGCTGCTGTTTGAACAAAGAGGCTTGCTATACTGTCACAGGAAACCCTGCAAAGTGGGTCTGTAATGGGAAGCTGTGGGTTCACTATGCAGCAGCTGGACAAGTGTGTGACTTGATGGAAATAAAACTAAATGTGTTGTCCTCCTGTACATCTTTAGCTCCTGCATGTTACCTCTTTCATCGCTTCTGAGATCTGTCTAGCTGGAATGCTTTGTTTCAGCATTCTGTTGCTGTTCAGGTTCTGTTTCAGGCAGTGTTAAGTGAAGTGCTAAAGATTCCTCGATTGCTGTGTGTAGAGAGCTCGGAAGTTAAATCAGAAAAAGTGCTAAGGTTACAAAAGTGAACCTTTGTGCTGGTGTGCCAGCACACTGATGGAGGATATGGGACAACCTAGCAGATGGGCGTTTCCCCACCGTGCTTATCCTGGAGCCGGAACTCAGGTTGGCAGGGTTGTTTGCAAAGCATGTTACTCTCTGAATTTCCAGCCAGTTCAGTGAGTAACCCTGTCTTAATTCATATTTAGGAGGCCCGCCTTCTCAAAATCCATGCTTATTTATATAATAAAACACCTTTTTAGGGTCTGCCTGGTAATAAAGGTATGACATTGCCCGCTCTTAGAAAATTTAGTATAAAAACAAAGCTTTAAGTGTGTTTGCCTATGGTTATGTATGTGCTCCATTGTAAAGCAGCTTGGTGGCACACACCTTTGATCCCAGCATTTGAGAGGCAGAGGCAGGTAGATCTCTGAGTTTGAAGCCAGCATGGTCTACAGGGCAAGTTCCAAGATAGCCAGGGTTATACAAAGAAGCCCTGTCACACATAATGTGCTTCAGGTGTACAGCTGTCCTCAGGTGCAAAAAGCCTTTCAACTACAGTTGACAAGTGGCTCCATTTGGGTCCTGGAATTTGAACCCAGGTCTTCTGAGGTCATGGGAATTTTAGTTACAGATGAATGTGAACTTAATTTGAACTCTAGTGCTCATTAAGTAGTAAGTGTTCTTTACTGCTGAGTCAGGATCACTGAGTTTGAGGCCAGCCTGGTCTACAAGTGAGAAGAAAGTAGCTCAGGAAGTTGGGAAACCTGTGCAGGTTCAGTGGTGCTACTGTGGAATCTGCTGGCCTGGGACTCAGCAGCCTGCTTCTGCCAACGCAGAGCACTAAAATGTTAATACTTCACGTGGGCATTTGGACACAGCCTTCAGTCTCAACACCCAGAAGACAGCTTGGTCCACAGAAGACCTGCTTTCAAAAAAAAAAAAAATTAGTAAATTTACAGCAGAAAAATAACAGTGCAGCCTTGGCTGTTCACGTCTGTGGTCCCAGCACTGAAGAGGTTCAGGCAGGGGGATCTTTCATCCTTGGCCACATAAGGTTTAAACAAGGCTTGGCTTAAAGTCTAGATTAATGTGAGCCTGGAATTCAAGAGTGGTGGTATCTGGTAAAGCCAAGGGAACAATAGCCACAGAGAGATTTGGGAAAAAGTGTTGATGCACTTTGTCCTTACCAGAAATTATCTAGTCTCAGTAAACTATCTGACTTTATTGTGCTAAATGAAACATAATTGGTGCCTTTTTTAAAAAGCAAGATGTACTTAATGTAGCTAAAACCCCGAGGACTAGTCGGACAGCTTATAATAAACATTACAAACAACCCCAAGATGAATAATATTCCATGTTATGTCAAGCATGGTTGTGCACTCCTTTTATACCAGTACTTGTTGGGTAGATCTGAGTTTGAGGTCAGCCTGGTCTACATGGCCAGTTCTGGAACAATCTAGGCTGCATAGACTCTGTCTCAGAAATGGGGTTGCAGGTGAGTATAATGCATTTTACATTTAATTTTAGTGCTGGACATTGAATTAGGTACTCTCACACAACAGAAAAGTCCTCTGCCACTGAGCTACACTTCTGGATCTTGCTAAACTGGTTATTTCTAAGCAAGGAGGTAAGATTTAGGCAACTGTATAATCCATAAGATACAAAAATTTTGAGTGACCTGCATTTGTGCATCATGTGTATGCAGTGCCTAGAGTCCAGAAGATGGTGTCTCCCCAACAGATAACCATCTGTAACAACTGTGAACTAGGAACTGAGCCCTGGTCCTCTGTAAGTATTCAGCCTCTGAGCCATCTCCAGCTGGGAAGGACTCATCCTGTACACCTTAGATTCTAAGCTCTTCTCAGCCTGTAGGTTGCAACCCCTCTTAGGGGTTGGACAACCCTTTCACATGGGTCACACATCAGATATTTACATTATGAGTCATAACATAGGAGATCACAAGGGGTCACAACCCACAAGTTGAGAACCACTGACTTGAGAGTATGTTCCTATGCTATTGTACTAGCATGAAAGTCATCATCTGAAGGGGATATTGCATTCCTTTGAGGGAGGGGTTTGCTTTGTTTTCGATTTTGTATGTGTAGGTCTGTGTACCCTGTGTATCTCTTGGGAGTACTGGGAATTGAACATGGGTCCTCTGGAGGTGCAGCCAAGGCTCCGAACTGTGGAGGCCCATGTTTCTGCTTTTACTAGTTCCTACTAAGTACCTTAACCTGGTCTTGACTTTAGCAATCCTGCTTCCATCCTGAGTGCTGGAATTGGGGTGAAGTCTGTGGTCTCCCTTGCGCTCAGTAAGTATCCTACTGCTGGATTATAGCCTGCAGGTCCTTGTTTCACAGTCCTAGGAAAAAACTGGGTTTCAGGAGTGATGGCTGCTTAAGTAAGCACTGGCTGCTTTTCCAAAGGATCTTTGTCCAGTTTTTCAGCACCGATATGGCAGTTCACAGTGGCACACTCCTTCAACAATGCCACACCTCTAACATGCCTTCTAATTCTCAAGCATTTCCATTCCCTGGGGACTAAGCATTAAATTATTTGAACTTATGGGACCATTCTCATCCAAACCATTACAGAGACCCTGTCTCAGTGGGAGAGGTAGAGGCCTGGAGTGTTGACCGCTCAGCAGGTAAGAACACTTTGCTCTTGCAGAGCTCTGTCCCCAACACCAGGTCAAGGGCTCACAACCATTTGTAACTCCAGTTCTAGGAGATCTATTACCATCTTCTGACCTCAGAGAGGACAGACAAAACACCTGTACTCGTTAAAAATAGACAAAACTGGCTGGAGAAGTGGCTCAGAGGTTAAAAGTACTTACTGGCTGCTCTTCCAGATGTCCTGAGTTCAATTCCTAGCAATCACATGATCTCACAATCACCTATAGTGAGATCTGGTGCAGTCTTCTGTTGTGCAGGTGCACATGCAGGCAGAACACTGTATACATAATAAATCTTAAAAAAAAAAAAAAAAAAAAACCCCGCAAACCAAGAATACAGACTTATGTACCTAGGATGCTGTGCATAGTGTTATTACAACACTGTAGACCAGGCTGGCCTCAAACTCACAAGAGATCCACCGACAGGACAAAGACAGGAGATTCTGACCTAAAGGTCTGGCTCCAAAGTGGATGGGGCTAGAGAAAAAGCTGAGTTGTGGAGTGTTGTCTAATACACTCCATAGTAGGTGTGTAGCCACAAACATAAAGTACATTCTGTATTTGGATAAAGATCCAAATTACCTTCCACAGTGGAGTGAATTCCTACTTGTCAAACTCAATGATTTAGAATATTTGTGACTTTTGAAATTTACTAATACTAATTTACTTATTTTGAGATTTGAGGTTTTACTATGAAGCCTCGAGAGGCTTGGACCTCCTTATATAGACCAGGCTGGACTAGAAATACACCTACCTCTGCCTTTGCCTTTGGAGTGCCTGAATAAAGGTGTGTACCACTGTGCCAGTTCTTGGTTTTTTTGGATAGGGTCTCATGTAGCCCAGAATATCTAGCTGAGGATGACCTTGAGTTTATCCTCCCATTTTTAGAAGTACAACCATTTACTTGGGGGAGGGCAAACATGGAGGTAAAAGGTCAACTTGCAGAAGTTAGTTCTTCCTTCCTACCATGAGTTCTTGGGAGATAACTCAGGTCATCACCCTTACCTAATGAGCCATCTGCATCAAGCCTTGATACTGTTTTCACATCTCCAGTGCTGGGTTTATAGGCATGTGCCACACACCTGGTTTTATGAGTGCAGTACCCACAAAGATATATTCCAAACCCCAAGTATTGACCAAACTCTTGTCATCCTTACTTTTTTTTGGAGGGAAGAGGTCATACTTGTGATCAAATTAGGGAAGCATAGGAGGCTCACGGGAGTTCACTGACACTGACAGGAACAGCAAGGTCCAGGTTCAGTGAAGAGACTGTCTCAAAATATAACCTGGAGGCAGGTGTGATGGTTCACATCATTAATCCCAGTACTTGGAGTGCTGAGGCAGGTGTATCTCTGTGAGTTCGAGGCTAGCCTAGTCTACATAATGAGTTCCAGGACAACCAGGGCTACATTGAGCAGTTTTGCCTCAAAAAACACAAGATAGTTAATAAATATGGTGAAGGGCTGGAGAAATGTCTTAGTGGTTAAGGGCATAGGCTATTCTTCCAAAGGACCCAACTTCATTTCCAGCACACATAGGAAACTCGCAACTGTCTCTAATTTCAGTTCCAGGGGATCCCATGCCTCCTCCTGGCCTCCAAGGGTACCACACATCCATGAAAGCAAAACAGCCATCTGTGTTTAAGTAAGGTGGAGAGTGATTGAAGAAGACACCTGAAATGGACCTCTGCTTCACAGGAGAACACTCTTAACACTGGCCTACACCCCATTTTTTATTCTTTACTGAGACAAGTTCTCTATGACACCCTGATGTGTGTGTGTGTGTTAGTGTTTTTGCATGTATGGGTTTCTGTGCATCACCTGTTTACCTGGTGCCCATGAGGTCAGCTCCAGCTCCTTAATTCTTAATTGTGTGTGTGTGTTGGGGGACATGAGTGCAGTGCTTCTAGAAGCCAGGAGAGGATGTTGGATCCTGGAGTCCAGCAGCTGTCAGTGGCACCGTGTGGGCTGATGACTGAACTCAGGTCCTCTACAAGAACTGCGTATTTAACACTGACATCTCACCAGACCAGCCTCTGGCTGCTTTGCATTACATCATTGATTCCTCCTGTTATTCTTCTGCCCCATATTTTCTTAGTTTTTCTTTCATCTATTTGCTTATCATATGTTGACATTCTTTTTCTTCCTGTATTTTATTTATTTATTATTGTCACACAGTGTTATCCAGTAGTATGGCTTCCAACTCATTCTGTAGTTCAGAATGACCTTAAACCACTGGCTCCACCTCCCAAGTGCTGGGATTACAAGAGAGCAACATCTTGTCTGGCACTGCTAGAGAGGCTGAGCCTGCAGACTGCCTGAGTCCAAGGAAGTCTCAACTACAGCAGACTCTGTTTCAACAATACATACACATGGTTGCAAGGAGGATATGGGCACTTCAGATTTTTTTTCCCCAGCTTCAGCCTTTGCTAGTGGAGACACTGCCAAACAGTGAGAAACTTTTTTCATTGTCATGCAGAAAGATGAGAAGTACTGGAGAATGATGGGAAGTAATCTACTGCAATACTCAGCTAGTGTGTTCTCACAGGAAGACTAGGTTTTCCTTTTAGACACCCACCTCATTCCCACTGTTGATGAATAAAGTCAGTATCTCAGGGAAGGATGGCATTGGTTCTCTGAATTTTCCTTCTAGAGTAGCACATACATCTGGCCAGCCTCCACTTTCATTCAAAGATCCTTCACGCTCTATGCTCTAAGCTTCACTGCTCAAAGCTTTTCACCTTACCTACAACCGAACTAAAGGAACATGGTTTCAGACAAACAGCTTGGCATATTCTTCCTGTCTACTTTAACTCAGGGATGTCTACACACATCTCACAGCCAGTCGATTACTTCTGCTCATCCGTTTTAGTCTAGTTGGGAATATCTTTCTTTTCTTTTGGTGTTCTCGAGATAGGGTTTCTCTGTGCCCCCTGGCTGTCCTGGAACTTACTCTGTAGACCAGGCTGGTGTTAGCATATAGGGTGCTAACATATAGCCTCGGGTTGCCTTGTAGCCTATGATGTCATGTATCACTCACCAGGTGTGTGGCTATAAAAGGACTTGGTTCACTCTTTCCTCTCTTGCTCTCTCTGCTTTGTTTACTTTCCTGGGGGAGAGGGGGCACCAATTCTTTTTCCTTCCTTTTCCTCGTTACCTTTCCACCTCCATCCAACAAACTTCTTTCATAAAATATCTGCTATGTGTGTGGCATAACTTTTAAATAAATACTAACAGCTGGCCTTGAACTCAAGAGATCTGTCTGCCTGTCTCCCAAGTGCTGGGATTAAAGGTATGCGCCACCACGCCCTGCTACTAGCTATGTAATATCTTTACGTGACTAGGTGACCCAAATTTACCCTCGAGTGTTCTAAATAACCTTGTCTCCTCGAGGCAGGAAGTCTGTCTTAGGACGGGTTGCTTTAATTTCTTTGATTGCATAGATTTAAATGGTAGAGTCTCCAGGTTTCTGACCTGCTGAGTCGCCTGGAAACTTCCACCTCAGTACTGTGGGGAAGACCCTACGTTTTGATGCCAGAGACGCGCCACAACTTCAGTATCTACCCCAACTTTAACGGGTGTCACCTAACGCAAGGTCCAAGGACAGTCAAAGACGTTCAACAGGAATCCCGCCCCTTTACTTAAACGTAGTTCCGCCAAGTACCCTCTCCTACTGACATTCCTATTACCCAATTAGGTGTGGAGACTTAGAGGTTGCTTCTCCAATTAAAAAAAGGCATTTGAAATTGACACTAGCGTTGACCAATGGCTGAGGCGTTTCGAGGTTTTTACCCTATGGGAGCGTCACTGAGAATGATAAGCAACAGATTCACCCAATGGTTGTGCCTCTAGCAGTCGCGGCCTCGCCCCAGCGGCAGGACGGACGGCAGGGACCGCTGCGGCGTTCAGTCTCCATCCGGACTCCGCCATGTTGAGTCTTGTGGGCCGTGTGGCCTCGGCCTCGGCCTCTGGGGCCTTACGGGTACTTGGCCCTTCGGCGTCGCTGCCACAGGCACAGATTTTACTGCGAGCCGCTCCCGCCGCGGTCCATCCTGGTAAGCGCCTCATCGAGGAGCGGCGTTCGGTTCTCTCCCCGTGACCTTGAGGCAGGGCCTGGGGAATCTGCTCCGGGAGGCCACCAGAGCTGCAGACTAGCGTGCACCCGCGGGAGCACAAGGACGGTCGCTCGTGGGAGCGTTAATCGGACCTGCAGGCCCCTTTTGTGATGAATCGGTGGTGGGCTGCTACCTTGACCTTGTGCACTTGCTGGGGATACCAGTCAAGAATAATGGCGGTTTTGTGCACGAGGTTAGCAGAGCAGTGCGGGCGGGTTCTCGGCTGCAGCGAGCTTGCGGGAGACATAGTCTAGGCTGAACTAGCCCTTACTTGGGAGCAAATCGGCGGTTCCGTTAACCTTTTAGCTGTCCTGACCCCTACGCCTTCCATTATCTTGCTCTATTAGCCAGAGACTATGCGGCGCAGACGTCTCCGGCCCCGAAGGCAGGGGCAGCCACGGGGCGAATTGTGGCGGTCATTGGCGCCGTGGTGGACGTCCAGTTCGATGAGGGATTACCACCTATCCTAAATGCCCTGGAAGTTCAAGGCAGGGAGACCAGACTGGTTTTGGAGGTGGCCCAGCATTTGGGTAAGTAGGATTTTTTTTTTTTTAGGTGTGGTAAAGAGTTGGTTAAGCTCAGAAAAGCCGTGCCGTCTCCCTTCTGTGATGATTTTATCAAAATGACTTTCGTTCTTCTGAATTTGCTGAAGCTACGTTCAGGTGCTGAGAGGGAGTCGGGTTTGCTTTTGGCTACACTTCATTACATGCTGTTATGCTTTGGTTCGTGTAACCGCTGACACTTTGACAGGGGAGAGCACCGTCAGAACCATTGCTATGGATGGCACTGAAGGCTTGGTTCGAGGCCAGAAAGTACTGGATTCAGGCGCACCAATCAAAATTCCTGTTGGTCCAGAGACCTTGGGCAGAATTATGAATGTCATTGGAGAACCTATTGATGAGCGAGGCCCTATCAAAACCAAACAGTAAGTTCCTCACTGCATTTGTGAACACAGGAGCTTGTGCTTGCAGTTTTACACATTAGGGTAATAATTTGTAGTGAAGCAGTTTTCCTACAGTACCACAGTCTGTTGTACTCAGTTACAGAAACTAAAGATAAAGACGTTCTGATCGAGGAAAACTTGCTACTTAGGAATCCACCCCAGCCCCCTTGATGGTTTAAAGCTTGTTTTATGTGTTGGCTTAGGTTATGGTTTCCTAAACAGTTTAGAAATTATCTGTAGTGTTTATTTTTTCAGTTAAATTTCAGTAAAAGGAAAGTGTCAGGAAATGGGATTATTTGTTCCTGAGCCAACATTTGTTATTGCAGAAAGTTAGATGTTAAATGGCAGCTTATGGGGTTGGGGGTAGAGCGCTTGGCAAGTGCAAGGCCCTGGGTTCTGTCCTCAGCTCTGGAAAAAAAAAAAAGAAAATAAATGGCAGCTTATTTGGACAGGGTTATATTTGACTGTGGGCAGGGACCTCAGTGCCTTCAGCACAGTGACTGACTGGATGCTGATCCTCTTCCTTCTGAACTTCACAGATTTGCTCCTATTCATGCTGAGGCTCCTGAGTTCGTAGAGATGAGTGTGGAGCAGGAAATTCTGGTGACTGGTATAAAGGTTGTGGATCTGCTGGCCCCGTACGCCAAGGGTGGCAAAATCGGTATGTTGGTCCATGTTTTCTACATGATAAGGAATGGAAGCACAGCTTCTGAAAGTGCGTCGACATCCTTCGTTGATGATTAGCTTCTGACTTTCGTTCTTCTGAGTTTGCTGAAGCCAGATGCCATTCCTGAGAAGGGAACTGAACTGAACCTTCTTTGAAGGTTGCTTAATTGGGGAATCCAGAGGTGTAAAATATTTCTTCTTAACCTAGGACTCTTTGGTGGTGCTGGTGTTGGGAAGACAGTGCTGATCATGGAGTTAATCAACAATGTCGCTAAAGCCCATGGCGGTTACTCTGTGTTTGCTGGTGTTGGCGAGAGGACCCGAGAGGGCAATGATTTATACCATGAAATGATTGAATCTGGTGTTATCAACCTAAAAGATGCCACCTCCAAGGTGAGCCCTGAGTTGATCTATGTCCATATCATTACCTGTTCAGAAAGCTAGTGCCAGCTGAAGCCATGTTTTATGTTTGGTGTTAAGAGCCCCGGGCTCTGTAAACAAGATACTTGACTTTCCTGTCACCATTTTCCTCTGGTGGGAGATATTTCTAGACTTTGTTTGCGAATTTGAAGGTGTTGAATGGGAGGTACTCACATATCTTAGGCAGTCCCATTTTTTTTTTTTTTTTTTTTTTTTTTTTTTTATCTTATTTTCAGTTTAAAAATTATCTTTCGGGTTTGCAATTCTGTGTCTAATGGGAAGAAATTTGCAAATGGAAACATTGACATCTGAGACCCCATAGTGGTTGGGAATATTGGATTTTCTGTGTGGCTTCCTTTTCGCTTTGCCAGCTTTTCTGATGTGTGTTTACTACAGGTAGCATTGGTATATGGGCAGATGAATGAACCACCTGGTGCCCGTGCCCGCGTAGCTCTGACTGGTCTTACCGTTGCTGAATACTTCAGAGACCAAGAAGGCCAAGATGTCCTGCTGTTTATCGACAACATCTTTCGCTTCACCCAGGCTGGCTCAGAGGTATGAGGGAAGCCTAGAGAGAGGACCTGGCTTGTTGAACCATTGGGCATATTATGATAAAGATGCAGACAACTAAGATCCTCAGTTTTTTTGTCTTTTAGGTATCTGCTTTATTAGGCAGAATCCCTTCTGCTGTAGGCTACCAGCCTACCCTAGCCACTGACATGGGTACAATGCAGGAACGAATCACTACCACCAAAAAGGGATCTATCACCTCAGTGCAGGTAAGAAATATTGAGTGGATAAAGATTTTAGTTGGTAAAAAGGAATCTAGGGAGATAATAAAATCTTGTTATATTTTGGGCTACACAGATGGTTCACTGGTTAAAAGCACTTCTAGATCTCCCCTGGGACTTGGGTTTCCCAGTGACCTTGTCAGATGGCTCACAGCCATCTAACTCCAGTTCTAGGAGATCTGGTGCCCTCTTCTGGCCTCCATAGTCACCTGTAAACATGGTAAACATACCCAGGCATAGTTACACAAACACACACACACACACAAAAGCCACCTTGTTCTATGTGAAGTGGCACATACCGTTAATCCCAATACTGAGGAGGCAGAGGCAGGTGTGATCTCTGAGATAGAGGCCAGCCTGTTCTATAGAGTGAGTTTCATGTTACTTGTCTTAGAAAAAAAGAAAAAAAAAAAATCTGGTTTCATCTCAAAAGGGGCTAATTTATTTGGTAGAGGCTGTTTGAGAAAGGATCTCTTTATGTAGCCTTATAATTTGATACCTAAACTGGGTTGACCTTGAACTCAATCCTCTCAAGTATTGGGATTAAATGCATGCATACTCCAAAGGGGCTTTTAAATAGGATGAGTTAACCAGTTAGAATAACATGTAAAGTTACGTATTTCCATGTCAGACTAAAAAGATTAAATTAAAAGCATGCTTATTGGCTGGGCCTGGTGTTTTATACCTGTGACCTTAAGCACATGGGATGCAGAGGCAAGGGGATCAGGAGTTGAAGACTATTCGCAACTATGTAATGACTTCCTGGCCAACCTGGCTATATGGCACTGTCTCAAAAAAAAAGAAGAAGAAAATTGACCCCTCCTAATAATTTGAAGGTATCTGAAGCTGGGTGGTGGTGCTGCATGCCTTTAATTTCAGGACCCGGAAGGCAGAAGCAGGCAGATCTCTAATCTCAAGACCAGCCTGGTCTAGAGTGAGTTCCAGGACAGCCAGAGCTACACAAACAAAAGTACTTTCTGTTCCTGCCAAGAACCTAGATTCTCCTCTTAGTACCTAATGGTAGAAACTCCAGTTCCAGAACTGGCCTCTCTTCCACCTTCTGCAGGCTCATGAGCTGGCCTAGTGCTATCTACCCAACTCAGTTCCCCAACTCTGTGCCCTAAAAGTTGGAATTACAGACAGGAGTCACTCCATCTGGCTTTTGTTGTTTCCTTGTTTGTGTGTGGGGCAAGTATTCTGTGGCTTGAACTGAAGGCTTTGACTACTAAAACAGACTTTATCACTACAGGTGCACTGTTGTGGTCCTGGGCAATAGCATTACAGTTCGGGAAGATCTTTTTAAGAGCAGAACTTCAATAAAAGGTGGTCCTAACGATGGAGTTCAGAGTGTAGCATGGCGTACTGGCCCAGACAGGGTAGATAGCACACTCAATCCAGTATCGGGGATGCTAAAACCTATGCCTTGATGTTGAGACCAGCATGGGCCTCTACAGTAAGACAGGTGACGAGGTCAGAAAACGAGTGGCTTAAGCAGAAACTTGATTGCCACTGATCTCCATGGATTCTTGACTCTCTTTAGGCGATCTATGTGCCTGCTGACGACTTGACTGACCCTGCCCCTGCAACTACCTTTGCCCATTTGGATGCTACTACCGTGTTGTCCCGTGCTATTGCTGAGTTGGGCATCTATCCAGCTGTGGATCCTCTGGACTCCACCTCTCGAATTATGGATCCCAATATCGTTGGCAGTGAGCATTATGATGTTGCCCGAGGGGTGCAAAAGATTCTGCAGGTGAATGTCTTGCTCTTTGGGGGTCCATGCCATCGAGTCATAAGGAACTTGGAAACTATATATAAGGACTGGATCTTTTGTAGTCATTTGTGTAAGCAAGGAAACTTGAGAGCAGATTGGTAACTGCTGCAGAGGTTTCACCGTTTCAGGGCACTTTGCCTTTGGAATACAGTTGTCTGCCAGGTGGTGGTAGCATACACTTTTAGTCCCAGCACTCAGGAGGCAGAAGCCAGCTTGGACTATAGAGCTAGTTTAAAAAAAACAGCAGCAACAACAAAAAAAGCTGTTTTTGTAACATAACTGAAGAGGATAGGGAGAACAGTACAGTGTCTTGACTAAGGGTGCCTGGGACTTTTGCTAGGGTCTAAATTTTTAAAGGAGATGTACTGAACTGTTGTGCTGTCCTCTAGGACTACAAATCTCTTCAGGACATTATTGCCATCTTGGGTATGGATGAGCTTTCTGAGGAAGATAAACTGACTGTGTCCCGGGCCAGGAAGATACAGCGCTTCTTGTCTCAGCCTTTCCAGGTTGCTGAGGTCTTCACAGGTCACATGGGAAAACTGGTGCCCTTGAAAGAGACCATTAAAGGATTCCAGCAGATTTTAGCAGGTGAGATTTTTCTACCATAAAAGCTGGCCATGACAGAAAACTGAAACCTTGAGTCAATATTCACTGTGCTGTCTTCTCATTCCTACACAACCAAATGATACATGTTTAGAAGGGGCGTCGCCCTTCTATCCCTTGTTACTGAGCCAGAGAGTAAGAATTTGGAATTTGAACTCAACTGCTCTAAATTAAGGGGTTTTATCGTGTGTGTGTGTGTGTGTGTGTGTGTGTGTGTGTGTGTGTGTGTGTG